GGGTGCAGGCAGTCCCCAGAGGGAAGTTTATACCTTAAGGCTGGGTGCAGCCACTGCACGAGGCTGAACGTGAGGCGGCCCTGTCTTCCCCTCCGAGTGAGTGTGTCGGTGCCCCTTCAGCGAGCGGCCTCTGCGCGCTTGCTCCTGTGGCAGCTGGGAGCCAAGAGTGCACCTTTGCAGCTACCTGCCCTCCGCAGTGGTGCTGACCATGCAGTGGTGTCCATGGGGCCACCCTCCGCCGGACCCCATGAGGAGCCGTCGTGTTCCTTTGTGTTCCTGCTGCCTGGCGGAACCGGGCCACCCTAGGTGTGCAGCAGCATTGGCACTGCCGCCGTCCCCGTCCCGTGGAGGGGCGGAATCCGGCGAGCACAGGCCGGGGCATAAATGCCCCTCTTCACACCGCTCCAAGTGGTTAGTGGAAAACAAGCTGCAAAGTAATTCCCTCGGCCCCCAATAAAAAGATTTATAGCAAAATAATTCTTGGCCCCATAATGGGGCTGTTGTAGGTTGGTGTTTGATATTTTGTAAGACTGAAATACAGCCCATGTACCCAAACTGAGCATTTATTGTAAACAAACTAACTGCCAAGAGCTTATACTCTGTCAAACACAATTACACCGAAGGTTGACACATGGCGTGGAAGTAGGGTGGGGAGACGGCTCCTTCTACTGGGAGCCTCCGAGATGCTCTCCATGACGAAGCAGGCTCCGGTGCTCCCACTGCTGTCAGCAGGATCAGGGGCGAACTCCTGCCGTGCGGTGGTGTGTGGCCTGTGTCCTCCGTGTCCAGATCTGGCAGCCCTGGTGCGAGATGGAAGAGCTGCCCCTGCCCGGGAGCCCCTGCCGTTAGGCGGACCCCAGGATGCCCCGCTGTCCTTCGGAAGGCTCCGAAGGGTGCTCGACTTGTGTTTTTGCTATGTTCAGCTCGCAAGATTAGAACTGCTTTGAAATTGTGTCCTTCAGGGAGGGCAACGCTAATGTGTTTCATTCGGAGGCTTTGAAGTCATTTTTGACTTAAAGAATTTATGAATCCAGGGAGTTTAAGAGGAGGGTAAACCTCCTGGAGCTGTGGATGTTCATACCTGGAATCAACGTCAAGTTAAAATATTGTTGTCGTTGTCCAGGGTTTTTTCTTTTGAGGAAGGTGAAGTTTTTTAAATTTAGGGTAAAGATTCCTCACTTTGTTCAGGAAGCAAATCACTTTAGGCTGTGATAAGACTTCATTTTTTTTTGGTACTGGGGATTGAACTTGGGTCCTTGTGCTTGCAAGGCAGGCCACCGAACCGCTGAGCTAAATCCCGGCCCAAGACTTCTTGAAGGCAGTAAAAAAGCCAAATAATATCCTTCCTGTGGCTGGGTGATAACTTTTGATTAATGTAGTAAGGATGATATAGGATTGTTAGTGGATTTTTATGCAGTGCCTTACATGGTCTCCATAGTCTTTTAAATGTATACTTTATTTCAGAAATTATATAAAGTATGTAGAATGTCTTAGAACCCTAAAGTAGAAAGGGAATGGTATGCTGGCCTTCTCTTCTGGATCCTGACTCGGGTAGTGGCTCTGTGATGCAGGCCTGCGTATGTATGGTCTGGGGAGCATCTGGGCGGGCCGGGCCCTGTCTGTCCACTGCACTTCATGAACTCAGTGTCCTGTGAGGTGCACAGCACAGAGCCTGGGTCCTCAAGAGCCTCCCAGCACTGGCCTCCTGCCCTGCCCTTTCTTCCTGACAGCCACTGCCTGCGCGCAGGGCTGGGTGCCCATCTGCTGGAGCCATGGTGTAGAGTCCGCTCTCATTTACTTCACAGTGGCCGCTTCCACTTTCTGCTAAGGACTTGTGAGCGTTTTCCCATTCCAGCCCTAAACACAGTTGGCAGGGCTTTCTTGTGAGGGAGAAAGCCTTTTATTTTTCACTCTAAAAACTTTACTTTTCTTCTTTTTATTTGATAAAAATCTTTCCACTCAGGATGATTTCCTTTGAGGCTCTGTGCTGTGTTTTATCTCAATTTTTAATAATTTTTGTGAGGTAAACTCCCCAAGGAAACAAATGCGTGTGCTCCAAGGCAGCCCCGGCCCGGCGTGGCCCGGCCTGGCTGGCGTTGTATTGGGAGCTGCACGTTTGATTCCTTTATTAACTCCGGCCTCAGCGCCGTCTGGGGCTGGCTGAGGATCATGGGCCGCGTGAGTCGGTCACAGGGACCTTCAGCCAGAGCCCAGACCTGCGCTGAGCAAGTGAATGTTAGTTTAGGCCCATTTTTATTGACTCCCTTTTTGGCTTGCAGGGCTGTGGCTTGCAAATCTCCTTTCCAGAGAGGATAATGAGATGAGCGGCAAAAGCTCGCCGTGGAAATGTGATTTTCAACATTGCCCTCTCAGAAGTCCTCAGAACAAACTGTTACACGACAGAGAACAGGAATCCTGGCCTTGGTGCATTAGGGCCAAGAAGGTCCTTGAGCATTAGTGCGAAGCCCAGGTCCCTCCGATGAGCGCTGCCCACCCGTGTTAGCTTTCTGTGATGCCCAAGTTCCCACCTCCCACTTTTTACTTTTTAAACAATTTCTCAGTCCAGGAGCAGGAAGCACGCTGTCTCTGCTTTCTGACTTGGCAAAGAGGTCACACAGCCCTGCATCTCCTTTCCTAGAAAGCACTCCTAGATGGCTGGTGCTGTTGGCCTTGTAGGAGCCAGTGGCGCTGCTGGGCAGCTTGAGCTCCCGCATGGGCAGTACTGGTTCATGGCAGTGATCACTGTCTTCTGCATTTTGTCTTCTCTCCTTTTTTTTGAGACAGGGTATCACTAGGTTGCTTAGTTGTCCAGGCTATAGCTTGAATGATCCTCCTGCTTCAGCCTCCCAGAGTGCTTCCATTACAGGCATGAGCCACCTCCTGCTCTGGGAATTAGTGTTTCAATAAAGTGAGCATCATTGACTTGGGGCCTAGGCAGGCCTGGGTGTCAGGTTGACCTGGAGCCCTCTACTTCCCCTGCTCCTGACATCGGGGAGTTTGGATGCTGGGGCGGAGAGCTTAGGGGTGGCCAGGGTTGTGTTGGGATGCGTGGCCCCCACTGGCTGCCCAGTGTGCCACTGGACATAGGCCGAGGAGGCCGGAGGAGGCGGCTTCAGGTTGACTGTGCTCTCCTGGGGACACAGGCCTGGACTGGGGGTGGTGAGGAGCCAGGCCTCTCCTTCACTGAGGCCACCATGGGGCCCAGTGACCAGGCCAGGTGCGCTGTCATCCCCTGCCCTGCCGGCTTCTGCCATCATCTTCTGGAGTGCAGCTCGGCCTCAGGCCTGGTTGCAGCCTGGCCTTGCCAGAGGGGAGCTGTCTTCACCCAGCTTCTGCGGGGAGTGGGATCCGGGGCTTGGGGGGCTGTGCTGCTTGCTTATGGTCCCCTCTCATGGCAGAGCCAGCCTTGTCTCCAGGACCCACTGGCTCCTGCTCACCTCCCTTGTCCGGGAGAGAGCCCAGCACAAACCAGACCCACGAGACTGGCCCTGTGAGGCGTGTGGGTGGCGTGGCCCTGCGTGCCCCGGTGCCACCTCTGCGCCCTCCACACTGCGCTCTCCCCGGGATCAGTAGGGACGGTTTCCTCTGCTGCACTGCACTACCCGAAATGTCTTCCTGGAGAAGTGAATTTGGAAGAAAACGTGTTTCTTTTACAGCAGAGGTAGTCACTTGTGCCTGATGTCTTCCGTCCAGGAAGGGCCATGTACGGCAGTGGCCATGAGGCAGGGCCTGGTGAGGTCCTGCCACTTCGTTCGTCACCAGGTTTGCCAGCAACACCCGAGGTGCGGTTCTGAGAGAATCAGCTGGATGATGTGGAGGGGACGGAGAGGCAAGACCTCAGCTGTGTCCAGTGCAGGGGAGGTGGACAGGCCCCGGGAGAGCAGGAGGGCAGGACGGACACATCTGGCCCCTTCTGGAATTGTGCCAGGATCCCATTGAGGGCAGAGAGCCCCAGGCCCCAATTCCTCTTTTGGGCTTTGAGTCTTGGCTTTCGGACTTGTGTGTTGTTGCAGGGCAGGAAGGGAAGGCTGGAGGTAAATATGGAGCTGCTGGTGTCCTTCTTTCTGACTCAGGTGTGTGAGGAGAGGGAGGACGCCGGCTCTAGAGCGGTCATTTGCCCTGCTTTGTTTCCGGTAGCTTAGTGCTGGAAAGGTCCCCTGCCTGGCCCTGTGGTGGGCTTTGTCGCAGGCTCTCCACAGCCTGGTCTGTGGTTTGGTGATGGTGGAGGCTGCCGAGCGAGGGCTGTCTGAGGCTACAGTGAGGGCAGAAGAAGATCTGTGGCCTCCGTCAGCCCTGAACCTGCTCAGGTGGGGGCACTGAGTCACGGCCCGGGGCAGGGAGCTTGGGCCCTGTCTTTGAGAGACAGACAGAGGCAGCCTGGCGCCAGTGTCAGCCACCGGGCCTTTGTTCCGGGGTGGGGCCGGGCAGACAGGACGGGAGGAGGCCGGCGGACAGCATGCATGGCCAGGCCGCTCACTGACGGCCTGGGCAGCGGGTCCCTCGGGAAGGGCCGGGGGCTCTGCTCTTGTCACAGGAGGGCACACGACGCAGGCAGGGTGCCTGAGCACTGCGTTGGCTGTGTGGTATTTCCTGGAGACATGTCACTCACTACCTGAGGTCTGTTCTGTTACTCTCAGCAGTGAGGCCTCTGCCCAGGGAAAGGCGAGGAGAAAGCAGGGCATGCGTGTGAGGTGAGGCCCCAGCCCTGCGCCCCCGCTGCTGGGGCATGGCCACCCCTCCTTGCTGGGGTGCCCTGCAGGGCTGGTGCAGGGAGCGAGGTGTCTGCTGGGTGGGCAGTGAAAGGATGCGGGGAGAGAAGCCCCAGGGCAGCAGTGCTGTCCCGAGTCCCCCAGCCCCACCCGGGGAGTGGGCAGCAGGGGAGGTGCCTGGCAGGCAGCCCACCCTCCATCCTGGCGCTGGGCACAGCACTGGACACCTCGGGTGGGCAGGTGTGATGCAGGCCACAGCGCTGGGGATGCTTTTCCAGGGGCTCCGTTTGCAACAAGGCACAGGCTCAGGTGACATTGATTTTAATAATGTTTTATTTGTGTGTCTGAAGTATTATTCCTACTTGCAATTAATTTTCAAATGTTGCTCAGGATCTACTTAGTTTCATTGCTCTTTCGGACACGGAGTGTATGCTGTGCACTCCAGTGAGTCTCGGCAGAAGCAGAGCTGCATGTGAAACACCGTCGCCCGTGTGGTGTGGCGAGGGCCAGGTTGGGCAGGCACAGCCTGGGGTCTGGGTCTTTGGGCTTTCGGCTTGCGTGGGGTGGGCACTGCACCCAGGGCCCTTGCTGTGTGAATAGGAGGCTGTTTGGTTGCTTGGAGTTGTGATGAGGCCATTCAGTCACCAGTCGTGTCATCTTTCTTCTGAAGAAACATTTCTCTAAAGATATTGAGTGTTGTTTACAGATCCTGAAAAAAAAGACTGGTTCCTTTCCCCGTCACATGGAAGTAGTACTGAGACTGAAAAAAGAAAAAGTAGACTGCGTTGTCGGAGAGCCCTGTGTCAGACTCACACACGTCACGGTGTGATCGCCGTCAGGATCGGGACGGAGACCTGATTGTGTGCATGTGAGCAGGCGTGCACACCTCACGGAGCTCAGATGTCAGGCTTATCCACCTGGAAGCAGTGAGACCCAAACTCGCAGCCTCCTGGCTGGTGCTGTTCATCCATCTGACTGTTCACACTCTCGTTCACACGGCAGGTGTCCTGTGTGCTGCAGAGCCCAGGAACGACAGTGAATAAAAAACTTTTCCAGTTTTATTTTGAGAAAGGGTTATACTGAATTGCTCATCTGGGCTTAAACTTGCAATCCTCCTGCCTCAGCCTTCTGAGTAGCTGAGATTACAGGTGTCTGTCACCATGCCTGGCTAAAATGGTCTGGCTTTTTGTAACTGCACATTTTTTTTCAGAAACAATGTCATGGAAATGACAAGTTCTGCCTCATAGCTATGACTTTTGGAGAGTGGGTCCTGGGCTTGTTTTGCCTCTTCTATGACAGAATTTCTTGAATACCCAATTACCAGGATGGGCCTGAAGTCGGGAGCACAGCTGGGGCCTGGGCACCTGTCCTGCGGATTAAACTCCCTGCTCCCTGCTGCAATTGTAAAAGGCTTAGCAGGACTTGATCAAAGGTCAAAGTTCTCACTCGATCATCTGGAAATGGGTCCGTGCTACCATAAAAGAGCAATCCCACCATATGTGCATGAGGCTGCGGCCTGTCCTTTCCCTGGGCGCTGCTTTTTGCTGTTCCTGTGTCATCGTTTTACATTGCTGTTCTGTCGTTGGAACGAATTCTCCTGCCCTCCCCGTTCTCACTTGGCCGTGAGCAGTGCGTTCTGAGAGTCCTTTCTTCCCGTCTTCACCCCTTGCTGCTTTCTTCGTTTTCCTTCCTTTGTGGGGTGTGTGAGTGATGGGCACAGTAGACACCAGTCTCTTTTCTGGGGTGTGCACCTGCCTCATTTCAGGGTTTGTTTTTCTTAGGGACTTCCTGTTTCAAAGGCTGCAAGCTTTGAGCTGCTGCCTGCCCATACTAGCCTCAGTTACACTATCCGACTGCTTTTCATTTCTCCTGTCATTGGCACTAGTAATTCCATCTATATTTTGTCTGTTTTCTTCTTCTTTTGCAAAGACTATATTTTATTGTAAAAAGAATATTGTTTAGATGGTCACATTCTGAAAGGAAGGTCATATTTTCTCAGGGTTAAATGCAATGTTTTCGGAGAGTATATGGGGCTTCAGAGCAAATGCAGCTGTCACTGGCTGCAGGTTAGTTTTTTCTGAGCAGGCAGTACCCAAATGGGCTGGTGCTTGTCTGTTAGCTAGAAGGTGTCGTGTGCTGTCCTGTCAGCTCACTGCTGCTTCCTTGAATCACTGAACAGCAGTACTTAGTCAGTGTTTTATTTACTGGCAGTCACAAGATCCCTGTGCTTTTATCCTGCACTTCTGTGATCTCCTGATTGACTGAGCTGTTAGTGTTATCTGTCTTGTTAACAGGGTCTGAAGTTTTCTCCCTGGACCTCAGAGTTGGGAAAGAGCTGTGGTCCTGGGAAATGATCACAAGTAGTCTGGGGCCACTGGATTCAGGGAGAGAGCTCATCTGGTGCCCAGATGTGTGTCGCTGTGTCCGCCATTGGAGATGCACGAGGCTGTGTGGCCGCGACCTTGTGCCTACACAGGCATCCATGGTCGATCGTTGGCTGCCCGGGCCTGTGTGTAGACGCAGTGGTGGCATGAACAGGGCCCGGGCCGGCCCGAGGGACAGCAGGCGACACAGGCTGCTCGGGATGGGGCCCGCGGAGCACACAGCAGGCCCTTGGCATCCTCTGAGTGAGAAGCCCAGACAGGAGCAGGCCCGGAGGGAACCTGGTGCACGCCGTGTTGCTCACTCCATCTCAGGGCTCAGCATGGGCGGACATTTCCTCCAAGAGGCAGCCTGTCAGAGCTGTTTCTGTAGCATCCTGCAGCCAGGCTGAATCTTCTTGCCTGAGAGTTTGGTCTGTCTGTCCGTCCACACCGTGGCAGCCTGTGAGCTGCAGGCAGTGGAGCTGTGTTACTGCTGTCAGAGCTGACGCTGCTGTGTCACCCGGCTCCTGTACTGGGCATGGCTGGCAGGGCTTTCTAGACTCTGTGCAGGCTTAATAATAATTACTGTGCTCTTCAGTGATAACAATGCTTAATGAGTATTATTATTGTTAATAATGGCTATATTTAATAATTGCACCCAATACTTACTATCTTTAATAATAATAATTAGCACATGGGAACCAGTTGCACCATTGTATTATCTTTAGAACAAAAAGCTCCATCTGGGAGCCAGTAGTTCGCAGGGACCCTGTTCCCTCCCGTGCCCGTCAGAAGGGATTGAGTCAGGACTGGACCGTGGCGGGGCGTCGGGTCTCCCTGTGACCTCTCGCCTCCACCTGCCCACACCCTCAGGACTTGGCCAGTGTCTTGCAGAAAGAGGGGACCTGGGCGACCCTTCCTTCAGACAGGACACACTGCCTGGTGCGACTTATGTGGGGCAGAGTCCGTGTTTATGGCTCGTGTGTTGATAAAACTTTGATCTTCTGCCTTGGCTGTGTTTAGATTTAAATGCCTGTGTGACTTTTTTTTTCTTCTTTTAAATAAAAAAACAGTTAAAAATGTTTGGCGAATTAAACATTTTTTAGCTTTTCACACTTTGATACAAAGCAGAGAAATATTTCAGTGACAACAGATTTCAACAGATTTTCAACTAAACTAATTTGCTTTATTCTTTAGGGTAGTTTACTTCTTTTCTCCTCAAACGCAAGGAAAGATATTTTTTCTAGTGGTAACCGGTGTTAATGTATAAAATGATTTTAAGGAGATGAGGTTCTGTATTTGGATATATATTTGATAAGAGCTAAACATTAGTTAAGACTTCAATGATCAGGATCTTTTCAGGCCAATTGGTGACCTGTTTACCACAATTTAAAAAGAAAGCCTGGAAGAGGAACTTCTCAGCTTTCACTGCCTTTCTTATACATATTCGTGTACCATGTCAGGCCCTGACCTCAAACCTGTCACCTGCCCCAAGCGGTGTGTCAGGCGGGGAGCTGGGGATGCGCCCCTGGGCCGGGGGCGAAGCCAGGTGTGCAGGCCCTGAGCCCACCTGCATGCGGGGCCAAGCTCGCTTGTGGCCAGAGCCTCAGGGCTTTGGCCGATGGGGGAGCAGGGCCCTTGCGGAGAGGCGGCGTAGTGTAAGCCGCCTGATAGCAGCTGAGCAGCCTTACCACCGTCTTGCCCTCGGGGCTGTAACCCATGTTCTGCTGAATCTCCCCAGGGTTGATGGTGCCGGTCTTCTGCGTGGTGGAGCAGCTGGATGGCTCTCTGGAGTATGACAGCAGGGAGGAGCACGCCGAGTTCGTCCTGGTGCGCAAAGACGTGCTCTTCAGCCAGCTGGTGGAGACGGCCCTGCTGGCCCTGGGCTACTCACACAGCTCCGCGGCCCAGGCCCAAGGTAGGTGCCCTCTGCCAGGGCCCGGCTGCCAGCACGCACGGCTCGGGGCCCACTCAGCTCCTGTGGGCAGGTGGGCGGGCGTCCCGATGTCCTGTGTCCTTGTCTTCTGGGGAACCTCTGCCCAGCGCCCTGGAGCTGCCCACACCAGTTCCTTCAGAGCGGGATCCCTGGCCTTTGCTTTTCCTGGCCCTGATGTTTCCTCCAGATCCACAGGTTGGCCTCAGGGCTGGAGCCAGGATTTTACCCGGAATTTATCTTAATACCCGGCGTGTCAGCACTCTGTGCTGTAAATCCACTTCCGTGGGACTGCAGCTTCCACAGTTTACGGTCACCTTTTAATTAAACAGGAAATGGGTGCAACTTACTCTTTTGTACATTTGAAAACTGTTGTTTTGATACAGTGCATTCATTTGAGAAAAAAACCTTGTCTTTGTAACTCTTCTTTTTACCTATTTAATTCACTATTAAAATCACACCCATATTTCACTGTGTGCTCTGTATCCCGGGGAGCCCGTTCTGAGTTCTTGTTTCGTTCTGCAGCATAGCTCATTGTTCTTTTATGCCAAAGAGTTGACAAAACAAATGACAACAAAAACACTCCCCAACCTTGAATAATGGCCACATTTTGTTTTTCACGCAGTGGAATTATTATTCTTGTTCATCAGCTGGAATGATTGAATTGTGTGGTTTATGAATATGGTTATAACTAAAGGAGATAAATATGTACCTTCCAGGTCTTATTTTGTACATGAATTCCCTATATATATGTCACAGTCTTTACTTAATATTTGTGTGAGAACCAAGGGTTTTTGCTGTTTGGAGCAGTGGTGGAGGGTGCGTCCTTGCCTCGCCTTCCCACGGGAGGGACTGGGGATTGGATGCGGGCACAGTGCATCCTGGGCCCGGCTGCTTCCGTCCCAGGCCATGCACCTGAGTGGAATGAGGCCCCCGTGGCGTGCCAGCTCCTGTGTGACAGGCCATCCATCTCCGTTACTGCGGGCCGGGTGCTCGCATGTGGAATGTGGAGTGCTAAGTGGCACCTGCGGAGGAGAGGGCCCTTGGGACTCGTCACCAGGGAGCCACCTGCCTGCCACACCCAGACACGTGGGCCAGGCACAGCCCACAGGGCGCATCTGGAAACAAGGCCCAGCAACTGTTTGCCTCCTCGAAGTGTTTTTGGGAAATTGGGTTGAAAGCACTTAACATCACACCTTTCCCAGTCGAATGACCTGGAGGTGTGCGGTCACAGGTGTGAGAGTGCGGAGATTTATCACCAAGCCTTTGCTGTCCTCTCAAGGGACAGAGGTCACCTGTGTGTTTTGCTTTAGCCTGCTGATCTCTGTTTTGGCTAAAGGGGAAAACGTAGAGTTGTTTATTTTGCAGTGAACATTGAGATCTCTGCTGTTGCTCAGACCCTAGTTGTGTGTGGTGGGGGCAAGGGTCCTGCTCCAATGGGCTGCCTGTGAAGACGCTGTGTCTCGCAGAAGCCTGGCAGGGCAGGAGGAGGAGCCGGCCGTGGGTGGGGTTCTGATGATGTAGGGCATGAGCACTGAGGTGCGAAGTTCTCTCTGCTTTGCCTTGGTTCTACTGCCTATCTTCCCCGACCCTCCTGGGTGGGGTGCTGGGGGACAGCATAGCACATCTCTACACCCTAGCAAATCTCTGTGTTGCAGGGAGGCTGCAGTGTCCCTGTGTTGGAGAACTAGGAAGGACCACGCTGCCAGGACAGCAGGTTGCTTGAGCCTATTTTTATTTATTTATTTATTTTTATTTTTTTCTGCTATATAGTTTAGGCTGGTCTTGAACTTGCAGTGATCCTCCTGCTTTAGCCTCCTAAGTGCTGGGATCATAGGCGTGTACCACCATGCCCTGCATCAAGCCTCTTTTAAACACCAAGCTCTTGAAACATGATTCTTCATTTTGATATGAGCAGAGAAGATTGTTACTATGAATGAATTGGAAGAGAATTTCAGAGAGTTGCCTGTGGAAGAGCAGCCACACAGCAGTGTGATGTTCTGGAATGGTGATTGAGCCCCAGTGGCTAGATGTTGCCCTTGTTCTGAGCAGGACACTGGTTTCTCCTTCTACGAGGGCACTTCCTCCCTGTGACCAAGGAATTTCATTAAAGAAAATATATTTGTTTTCAAAGGATGATAGCAGTCTTGCTGAGGCCCTGTCCAGGGATGCCTCCTCCAGGTACTGTGGCCTTTTGTGTTTTGAAGGCTAGATGTTGGGATCCACAGAGAAGAGGGACAGACTTGTCATAAGTCGTAGAACTGTGTCTACAGGAGCCCCATGTCCTTCCTTCCTGTCTCTAGAGGGCCTGTGTTCCTTTCTGTCTCCAGAGGTTATGTGTCCTCACTTTCTGTCTTTTGGGGGTCCTGTGTCCTTACTTCCTGTCTCTAGGGGGCCTGTGTCCTTCTTTCCTGCCTTTAGCAGGCCCGTTTTCTTACTTCCTTTCCTTAGGGGGCCAGTGTTACCGTTATCTCTCTTTAGGGGGCTGTGTCCTTACTTCCTGTCTCTAGAGGACTTGCGTCCTCTCTTTCTGTCTTTAGGGGGCTGGGGTCCTCACTTCACGTCTCTAGAGAACCTGGGTCCTCACTTCTTGTCTCTAGGGGGTCTGTGTCCTTACTTCCTGTCTTTAGAGGACCCGTGTTCTCACTTCCTGTCTCTAGGGGGCCTGTGTCTTCCCTGTCTTTCAGGGCCCCGTGTTCTCATTTCCTGTCTTTAGGGGTTCGTGTTCTCACATTCTGTCTCTAGGGGGCCTGTGTACTCACTTCTGAAACACACAGCCTTCTCACGCTGTGATTCTCAGGGTGTCATAGACGTTCCATTTTGCGTGTGCGAAAGCTCCAGGCTGCAGGCTGTCTGCTCTTCCCAGATTGGGTGGACAAAGGGCCTGGGTGTGGCCAGAGCGTCTCTCCCGGGGTGATGGTGCACACATGGTCTGTGCCTCAGATGTACCAGCTCTCGTGGGAGAGGGGCGTTAGCCCTGGCTACTGCTTCTCAGTCCCTGCCTCACTGGCGATCACTGTTCTCCTCCTCATCTTTACTTTGCAGTTCTCTCCGTGGGCCTTTCTGACACCCCCACTCTGGTCAGGGGCTCCCACCTAAGTCAGTGGGCACCAAGGGCCTCTGGATGCCCACCTAAAGGTTGGGCTTAGTTGTAAGTGGACATTTCATCCCCTGCTTTCTGTAAATTTCAAAATAAATTATAAAATTTATTTTTGAGCAGAGAACTTTATTTAAAAACAAACACATTGGGCAATAAATAAACCCACATCTCTTCCAACAGGGTGTTTTTGGTGTTGAAACTGTAGATTTAAGAAGAGGTATGTTAATCATCATTTCTTATTTATATTCCAATAATTACCTCTATGCACTCATTTTCAATGATATTTTTAAAAAGTGGCACAGAAAAATGTATTTAATAAATGTTATGTGAATGAGGAAGATTGCTAAATGCTTCAGTGATACAAAATCCCACATTTGTGCAGAGGAGCGAGACCAGGGGAATATATAAAATGTCAATAGGGTGGGCCATGGGCTTCTGTGGGATTTTCTCTTAATCGGAAAGAAATAGTTATGAAATTTGCCTTGTAAAAGTATGAAAGTATACTTATGAAAGTAGGAAATCCTCCTTCCTGCCTGAATTCTTCCCAGGATGAGTGGGAAGTTATTTTTACTTATTCTCACGTTTTGATAAGCATCCCACAGTGTCCCTGTTTATCAATAATGTGAAACTTATATGTCACATATATGGATTTCTGTTGTAAAATAAGAAAGGATCAGTAGTCATTAATGAGCCCCTGTAATGGATGAGCTGAGGGATTTCTTGGAGTTTTAATTGTGCCAGGTACAACGGAGCAGTTAACACGGAAGGGGGCTCTAAGATTTATCCATATTAGCTCATTTAATTCTTGTAATGGCCTTTTGAAGGGAGCTTGTAAAATCTTTTATTTCCCTTAGTCCAGGTTTGAAGCATATGATCACATTCATTGTGGAAGTTGGTGCATGAACCCAGCACACCATAATTCTTTTCACTTCCCTTCGCTCCATCTCTTGGTCTCCTTCCTTTTCGCAAAAGGTTGATCTCCCTATTTCCTATTGCCCATCTTTTCTCTTGCTATTTATACTTTGGGTTTGTCATAGAGGTGAGTGAGTTACTATATTTTTTCCACTTTACAGAAGGGGAAATGGAGGCAAAGAAAAGGGAGCGACTTTCTCAGGGCACAGGCTAGGAGGAGGAATGGAGCTCTGGAGCCCTTGGACCCCTGCAGGTCGGCACCTGAGCCCAAGGCCTTGGCGCGCTGCCCTCCTGGAGGGCTGTGGGCAGGCTGGCCCCTATCGGGCCAGTTCACTTCTCACCGTCTGACGTCAGCCCGATGGCAGGCGTGTCGGTGGTGGATGGGTGCTTGCTGAGCCCAGGATGCTTTGCACACATCGAGAACGATGCTGCTGTGTGTTTGATTGCCTTGGTGAGCTGTATAAACAGGGTCTGTAAGTTAACCGAGATGACCTTCATCAAAAACAAACAGCCAGACCCTACAGGATTGCTGTCTGTAGCTAGCTGGAGGCCCAGGGTAGCGGGTTCAGGTATTCAGTTCTGCTCCCAAGGCCCCCAAGAGTCCCTCTCCCTGAGCACCATGGACCTTCAGATAGAGCATTGGTCACTCCTCTGGATTTCAGAGATAAACTGAGAAAAAAAGCTGCTTTCAGGGAGCTTCTGTTTTAAAGTTTGAGTATGCCTGAGAAGTTTACTATGTGGAGTCAGAGCATATAAATTTGTCTACAAGTTCGGTGCTAATTTATAACGAAAGAGTTGCTTCATTCCTTAGCAGATGCTTGGGAATTCCTCCTGCCTGTCCGCTTTTGGAAACATGAATAAATAGCCAGGTGAAAGGCATGGTGTGGTTGTCCTAGGAAACCCATTTGCACCCAGGCAGAAGCATCCCTTCTCCCAGGATGTGCTGTCCACACTTGGGTCAGGGTCCTGGAGC